TACCACTGTCAGTGATACCCTGAACATACTACATACACCAGGAACTCCATTACTGTCAGTGTGCACTGCATGCACATACAGTTCGTATGTATGTACATTTACATCTCTTTTATTTTAACATCCAAATCTCACTTTGGCATAGCCTGGAGAATTTTCATGTTTCAATGTTTGACAAAGTCACATTAAGCCTCTTGTTCACAGTGGTTCAGTTTGGTTGTCTGTTCAGAGCAACAGTTTCTTGGGTAACTTGCTTCATTGGTTAAGAGCAGCACCATGCACGTGTATGGTATGTGTTTACATTGAGCCTAGAATTGTGAGCTGTGAGGATGTCAGATTCGGCCTGCATATGTTATTGATCCTACCATGAATATCTATCCCTATTACAGTGAGCCAGTTTGGTATTTCAAAAGGGCAGAATTGTTTTAAAATGATGCACTTGTGTAAGTTGGCGTGTATGGCCTGGCTGATAGTGCAGACGACATTATGCTTAACTGTATTGCTGTTTTGAATGCACCTGGGTACACTTCATGTTTGGCATGTGTTGTTGGAGTATCGGACTGGCTGGTTTTATATTACCATGTCTATCATTATGAACACAAGGGAGCATATACATGTATATCAAAAGATGACTGCAACAAGAGGCTTTGAATTTGTTAAAAAGATGTGGCTGCCCAAAGCATCCTTTAGATTGGAATACCATATTGAACTGTAACATCTCCAGCAATGGCTAATTGGAAACGTTAAAGATCATGTATGGGCAAGACTGATCGGATATTTTGACAGGTCTGCTGCCAGGATTATACATCAGTGTTTGATTTAATGAGGGTAGAGTTGATGTATAAATGTACAGATCCCTGACGCATGTACGTTTTACTTTTGAAGCAAAGTTTTATATTTACTTAATTTTGGTACAAATGTTGTATAGAATGACACATGAAGAGATTAAAATAAATGCGACATAGATGCAAAAAATGAATAACATCGCTTTGTCAGAAAGATATGTTATGATTTCCTTGTAAGACATGTTATCAGGGATTTGGTTCAATTGGCCTGAGGCTACAGATGATATGAACTACAACTTTAACCAGTTGTCAAGAGAAAAGGAATTATGTAAACTGAAACGAATATGATTAGACTTATGAGGATATACTTTGGATTGAGCTAAAAGTTAATGGGTTTTACCTTTAAGATATGTACATTGGTTTGGAAGACACATCAGCACAATACCATGGAGTGGTTCTGGGAGGGGGTACACCCGTTACTGATGAATTGATGAACCATTGTCAGTGGAAAGGGGTTGATTTTAAGGTTTTAACCTTAATTGTCCTTTATTGTTTACATATTTCTTCTCTTTTGCTCCTTTTTTCAAAAAATTATTTATCTTTTTTGGGGGGGCCTCCTTGCCACCCCCGTAACCCCCATGACAGTCATTGTGGCAATTTGTAGAAGTTCATGGCTTGTCCATTTCTCATCATCATTTTGACTCAAGAACCTATGATATAAAATATGCCTGAACCATCTCGTTTACAGAGAATGCTAGAAAAAGATGTTGGCTAATCATCATTTTTTCACAGTAAATAAAAAGCGTCAGTTATCCGCAAAGCCGACCCCAAGCATCTTGTATGCCCATGAAGATGATGGAAAAAATGCCCCTCCTCTCCCAACATTATATCCACGCCTCCTTTTGAATTCAAGTTCAAGTCTTGAGGGCGACATACTACTACTGTAGTACTTGTACAGTACATACGCAGACCTAGAGCCATCCCATCGAAGGTCACGTATACCGCGTCGGCCCGGCAAATCAACATGTGTACTGGTATTATATGAAACTGACTGTATCACGTAGGAATTTCAGTTCCAAACACCATTATTCGCCTATGTGGTACCGGCGTTGAGTGTAAGTTTTGACTTCCAAAATATCTAGAGATCTGCTTCCATGTTAGCAACATGGCATCTGGTCTACTCTTCTTGGCAACGTGCATTACTTTGCTTTCCCGGTTTTGCCTAGGGCCGGGATCGGGAGTTCGTACCACCACCACAGTTACAACCAGCACCAGTCGGCTCCAATACTAACAATCCTGCTGGTGGGCAGGGCTTGGTAATGCCGGAGGCAGGTGACAACGTGGCCCGTGGAAATAGTGGGACTAGGTTTGCTCCATTGATAGACCAAAGACAGCCAGCTCAATTTCATGGGCAAGGACAAACCAGACAGTGGGTTGGTCGAAATTTTGTACAGGAACTCCAAAGGCAAAAAAGATCTGGTAATGGAAGACCTTCAGATCCACCAGTGCCTGGGCAACGGCAATGGGGTAGTCGTGGATATGTCACGCCGAATCCGTATCCAGCACCAGGCCCAGGGCAGGCAGGAAGACCTTCAAATCGACCAATGAGAATTAACGACAATCCACAATGCCGAGAAGATGTTTTACATTTATGTGGTAAAAATGCACGAGGCAACAACTTTTCAGTGCTTGATTGCCTGCAGAATGCCAGAGAGGTGGGTATATTAAACTTCCCCAGCAGGCCTAGCTAGATTTTATGGGAATGGTTTGACTGTGACATGCCATCTTTGTCATGATGCATGTCTTGGGTCGTATGATGATGATGTCCTCAACTGTGACACCTTGTCAAGACTTATGTGAATTGTACATTGGAGGCCCAGTTTCTATCTGGTTTATTTGTCATTTTGTCATTCTACAGTGTCGCAACAAACTCACAACCCGTCAGAAGGTGGCCAGCGTGGATGCCAAAGCAAATTATTGGCTGTTTAGGAAATGTAAAAATTACATCAAGAAGACAAAATGTAACAGGCCAAAGGACTCACAAAACCGAGAATTCCGACTCTCCAAACTTTTGATCTGTTTGGAAGAAACCAAGCACAACAGTAAGTATCTTCAAATTTAGAATCTTTTGGCCAAGTTAGAAAAGTGGAAAAATGAATTTATTAGCTTCATGCCCAATCCACTTAATTCCCTCAATGGACCTCTAAGAAATTTGAGGGATTTGTTGGATTGAGGAAGGCACAACCTGGCCACTGCTTTTAACATTGGGTACAAAATCATATGGAAGTTCAATGGACAAAGAATTTGCCATGGTTTCCTGCAGAATGGTTGATTTAGGAGTATTTGGGAAGGGTTCGAGTAAAACTCCTCATCCAAGAAATAGGAAAAATGTAAAACCGTAACATGTTTCATTTGTTTTATATTTAAACTTACATTCAAACTAAGATAGAAGGACACNTAATAATTGACGTTTAATTAAACAGACATAAAGCTGAGTGGAGACTGTGTAGCTGAGCTGGAAGAGACAAGAAAGAGCCTGATGGAAGACTATATGATCAACCCAGAGATCATCACCATGTGCAAGGATGAGATTGGTAATCACTGCTCAGGACTTGAGCGTGGAGGCAAGACCCTACACTGCTTGATGAAACTGACCCAAGAGAAACCCCCCAAATTGGGTCAAGATTGTGAAAAGGCTGTAAGTAGAAAACATGCATAGGCAAGTTTGGAAAAGTTACATTGCAAGACAGAAGACAAGCAAACCTCAATTTGTCTGATGTGAAATCTTCCCCTTCAGAAAAACAGAACTGTTCATGTAGCATTGTCTTCTTTACTTGTCTTTGGAGGAGCTTTAGACACTGTGTGTCTGGACTTCTGTTGCATTATCCAACAAATATTCTCTAGTATTCAGTACTACTGACATACTGAACCCAATAATACGGTAAACCCTCAAGTCAAGTAATATTGGTTGCCTTTTGCCATCCTGAATGCGGGCATACATGCAAACCAGCTGGATTTAGACAAAGGCCAAGCAAAATAATAGTTGTGCTTCATATTACATTAAAAAAATAGGTTGTGTATGTGGGTAGCATTTTTTTTCTTGTGAAATTTTTGGGTAAAATGTATCAGGAATGGGAAATTTTAAAATTTAAAAGTGATTGTTCATGAAAATTTTTCGGCTATGTACAAAAAGTTTTTATTTGAATATGACAAGCAGCAAAAACTGGAATGTAATATCTATGGTGATTCGGTGAAGTGGCTTAAAATGTCTGTAGAGAAGCAGGTTGGTTTGAATAACTCGTACAGCAATGACTATCTCCAAGTTTCTGCAAAAACATGCTTTTATCTACAAAATCATGCCTTTAAATGAAAGACAAAGAAATTAACTGATACAGATAAAACTTATACAGAAAATTCTTATGCGAATGCTCCTCCCTGGCCTGCAGCATGTTATCCACTATCATAACACATGCACCCACAATGAGCTGCTTCAACACAAAATGCTTGCTGTGATGTGTGAGCGTGATACAGTCTGAGCCCTGGACTGCTTTTACATTTAATATCAGTGATAGTTTGCATTCATTGAGCAGATGAAATGCACAAACAAATAACAGCAATGGACAGTAGAGGGCATCATGTTAAAATCTGAACGGGCCCTGCAAATTTGCATGGCGCTTGATCACGTTCACACCGACGACTAACACAAGACCCATTGACATATTATGAGAACAAAGTCAATTTTCAAGCCAAAAGAAAGTTTAAAATCTAAAACGGAAGCTTTGTGTGTAAAATAAGTATGAGGGGCAGCAACAGTATTAAAAAAAATTTTTGTTAAAAAAAGATGTAGGTTCACCGCAATTTGCAAGGTTGGGGCGGGTGACCGGAAACACAACTATTATTTTGTTTGGCCTAATGGAAGTAGGGTCAGTAATTCTCTGCTCACCCAATAGAATAAACAATGTTCCATTATTTCTTATTCTTTATGCCATTCGGTATGGAACTTCATAAATGTTTCCCTTAATTAAAATACATGAAGCTCAGTTCCTTTATGATCATTTATTGGGCGCGTGATTTTCTAAAACAATTTATGGAGTACCTTTGAAACAGCTTTCAGCTTTGGAAACATACCCTGTGATGTTTGATTTCTTTATACATTTCTTTTATTCCTAACATGTTTGGCTTGGATCAGTTTTATTTAAAATATGTGATAAGGTCTGTTCGGGTTTCTTTTTTAATTGCATAAAATGCTTTATTACAATGAAGCCGGTCCTGGAACACTTTCTACTGTTTTATCCAACTGGAAAATTATTTTCTCAACAAAAGTAACTAATTTAACATGCAGAAATCGCCTTGCACGATTAAACTGAAATTGTGATATACCTTAGCTTTCACCAGTTACCATGCCATTGCAGAAGTTGCTATGGCAACCCATTTCTGCAACAAATGGTTACCTTGGTATAGTTGCTATAGCTGGATGATTTTTGTGACAATCTGCCTCTCTGTTGGTGATCTAGATAGTACATGTTAATGTGCATCTCACCAAGCTACTTTTTTTAAAGATGGTTCAACATATTTAAATACATGAGTGTCTGTCAATATGGCCAGCTCTTTCTATGTCAGTCTGTTTTTGCTTCCCACCGGCAGCTACACTATGACCAGTTGTCCATGCAAAGGCAAATTATTCATTAATTTGAAATTAATGATTATAGTGTAAAAAAATCTCACCCACCTGTCACAAAACCAATGTAAAACAGATACTAAATGGGGCAGACTTAGATATTTAGGTAATATTTGATAACCAAGGGTGATATATCTGCAAAATAATGTTGGCCACCCATTTGAATGATAGGTGATCTGAGAAGGTCAGTTTGTGTGTATTGTCAGTTACAAATCCAACATCCATGTTTAGTGAAAATGCAAAACCATTAAATTGAATTAAATTTATACTTAGGAGAGGGTTTAACTTGTGATATAATTGTTCATGAATCTGTCTTCCACAGTTGCAAGATCTGGTAAAAACAGCTGACGCGGGAGCCAACTATCGAATTGATAAAGCGCTACACAAAGCTTGTAAACCAGTGAGGGATAATTATGCAAGGATGTTGAAGCTGGAGATGCCAAGTAAGTTTAGTTGCGAGAAGAATTTAATCGAGAGAGCTTGAACATAGGAAAAGTGGACAATTAGTCACTCTACACCCCAGATACCCTCCAGATATTTCCCTCCCTTTTTATTTGGCCAGCATGGAGTTTGGAGGCAAGAGTTTATTCCATATTCAGAGACGGAGTACAGATGAGATAGAGGGATTTGTTGATGTGATAGATTACTGCTTTGGATTAGATTTCAGTGTCATTGTGACAGAAAGGCAATGAAATGGTCCGTGTTACTTAAAGTAGTTTCATATTTGAGCTTCAGAGCTTCATATTGCTAAGCGAATAGCCATGCAATTTCCATAGTGTTGTATTGGATACTTATATGTATCTCAATTTGCTCAGGACTTTGTATAAATTCACTGCTTACCGGTACTTGTGTGCTCGTACTAGTACTTTTATGTTACCTTTATATCCGCTCTTTGGAGTGGCAGTGGGGTTTAATGGTAAGGTGTTTATTTGAATAGTTGAGAAAAAGACACATGTTCTATCTAGGTGTTTGTCGTCATCCATCTGGCCACGTTTATGTAAACAATGGGTCTGCGTGGTATTCATTGATGATTTTGTTGTTAACAGGTGTTCAGTGTAGCTCATGCAAATTACAAATGCCAAGTCACAGAACAATCTCATGCTTGGAAATTGAAAGACGGTACCGGTATATAAACACAGATATGAAGATCAAATTCCAAATAGTGTCCTGGATAAAGAGAATGGAAATCAAAAGCCAGTTGTTTCTTCTTTTGGGAGTTTTAGTTGAAGTTCAACTTTTCATTTTGATTTACATATTTCTTATTATATAATTTTTTTTTGACTTGTCATGTGATACAGTCAACACTGTGGTCATATTCAGCTGACAGTGAGCTGTATGCAATATGTATTTTGTTAGCATAGAAAGTCCTGAATGCACTTGACAACCAACTGGCTACCTAATCTATGAAAAGTTGTAGTCACAGAAATATTGTCATGATGAAAAGTACATACGGTACACTCTGACCTGGGCAGTGTTTCATTAGGAATAATTTTTCCTTGATTTCTTAGCTGCAAAACTGTCTTAACTAAGCGGTCCATCCAATGGAAGGAGACTTTCGTCTAAACCCAAGAATGCAGAAAGCTTGTCGGCGTGACATGCCCAAGTTCTGCAGTGATGTCTTGGATAAATTCAAGAAGGAGGAATACAAAGAAAAGGAATTGGAGGGAGAAATGCTGCTTTGTCTCAAGAAGAAATTCCCCACCAAGGTGGGAACTTATTCATCTGCCTCAAAACTGCCTTCATGAATGAGGCCTTATTGACACGCAACAAAAGATATAAGAATAACCTAGTCGTCCAACTTTTGGATCATTTTAAGTAATAGTCAGTGGTTTAGCCATGATTCTTCACATCTGAAGTAATGACAAAAAAGGTTAGAAGATTTTTCTTGCTTCCTAATAATGCTGGAAAAGTTGGGTTTTTTAAACTCATTTGGTTTTAATTTACATGTATTTTGTTTTTCCTTAGTCTCTGTCACCGGATTGTGAGAATTACATCAGAGATGTAAGTTGAAAGGATTACCGATTTGTTTTTCTTGGTTTAAACTCAATTTCAAAATATTCTCAGTTGCCATACTTAAAAATGCCTTTGGATGCTGTGAAAAAAGTTCTTGTGAAATAATGCAAATGAGCAAGAAAGTTGTGGTGAAATATTTCTGTTCTTGTTTTTCTGAGGGCCAGTCATTTTCATGGATTTTTTTGTAACTTTAAAAAGTGGAATATTTACATCCATGTTTTTCTGCCTCTGTATGAATTTCATTGATTCTGTTTGTTTAGGCAATACAAGAAGCATCAATGGATATTAGGATGGATCCTGTCCTCTTCAGTGGGTGTCAGGATACAGCCAAGAGGCTTTGTTCTGAGGAATTGGAGACTCCAGGTCAAGGCTTAGTTGCGGAATGTCTTAAGACTAATTTATACAAGGGCAAAATCATTTCTCTCAAATGCCGTATGGTGAGCAACTGTATTTGATGGGTTTTTGAATCCAAATTTAATTCAGTGTAGTGTTTAACGGGGATGTGAAATCTCCACTTTTAACAGATTCCTGCTTTTTTGTTGACTGTGCCAAATTTCATTTTCCGCTTTTCTGCCGCCAATAGAGGGCTTCGTTACATGTGGCGCAGGGCTAAGTGCTTGTGTCATGCATTATTGTGCAGTTTTTACACACTTGATGCTCATAGTTTTGTTGGAGATTTTAAACATTTTTGGGACATAAACTCATCAAAATGTCAGTGCAACACAAATGTATCAAAGAAGCTCCGATTTGGATACAATCTTTGACCAGACCAATCTTCCATTTACAAATCTGCTGAAATGGATGTGAATGGAATACACCTTAGATGGGCGGCAACACTATTTGCGCTGGGAAAATCCATAAGCCTGGACGTACGATGTGCATTCTTTGTAATAAAGAATTTAAATTTTGAAAACATGGTCAAATTAAGTGGGAAAAGGGCCAATTCGCTCTGCAAACGTTGATATTTACAACTTTGGTATACTGGTTCATTTTAACCTTGAGGAAGTTTCAGGCAAATATGAAGATCATTGTTCAATTGAAAATATGCATAAATTGCTAGAAAAAAATGACCAACTTTTGCATCAGGAGGCTGTAAAATGCACCACAGAACTTCTACATTTAAAAATTTTCCTGAGCCCTTAAGCAGGCTCCAGACCCCACGCTATATATGCTTAGCGCTTGTAATATGGGCGATTCACAATGGTGCGCCTCCAAGAGTTTGCAACATATTGGCTAATCACGAAGTGCAAAATCTGTCAACCTATTGTGAATCACTCGTATTTCAGCCTTTTTAAGCTTTTTTAAATACTCCACTCACACCTTTGGTTAGAGTAACCATTGCTTCCACTGATGAACATCAGTTTTTTTTTCAAGAAATGCATTGACACGTCCTCAAGAAATCTGATATTCATCTTCTTTAGCAAGTTTACCTCAGAGAGTCAGTAGTTGTGGAAATGTAATAAGCCCATTTGATAGGACAGGAACAGAAATAGATTGGAGTTGGTGAATTGAGGCCTGGGTTAACTTGTTAAGTTCAAGTGATTTCATTTCACTTATACGAATTCTAGTAGCTTCTAAGAAATTGTGAATAAACTGTTATATAATTTATGTAAATAAACGTTTTTCTTAATTTTAATTTCCAGCAAGTGATACGCCTGCTTCAAGAGTGTCGCACTGATGTTCATATTGATACTCTCCTTTACAAAGCTTGTGCCTTAGACATCAAGCATTTCTGTGCAGGTATTCCACAAGGGGAAGGCCGACGTAAGTACTTCACCTGTCCATGTCAGGCTGCCTTCGAGAAAAATGTTAAAAACAGATCAAAGAGTCATCAGGAAAAACTGGAATAGATACAAATAGGTTTTGTTACCAAGAGGCAGACTTAAAATGTGTTAATTTTGGCCGGATCTGATGAAAAGATTGGCAGTTGCTGTCATTTGTATACAGGTGAATTATAAACCATTTTTATTTAAATCATTTTTCCCAAGTATATTACTTTTACTTGAGTTTGTCTTAAATTTTGATATTTTGGTATGACCTGCATTATTTTCTGATATTGAGATGCCTTGCAGTCATTTTAAAGACAAGTAACTTTTTACCCTTGTTTCTGCCATTAAATTGCGTTTTCTGTTCGCAAATTGCTGGTATGGGTTTTTGAATGTACAAATCGGTAATTGTTCCTAGTTGTAGCACCAACTAACTGATTTTAAAATAGGTTACATTTTTTGTAAGTTCCTACTAGTGATTTTAAGTAAACCTGATTCCTGAAATACAAATGCCTTTAAATGATCATCTTATTCATCCTTGGTGCAGAGATGTCATGTCTACTTGAAGCTCTGGAGGACACTACTGTCAATCTGCATGCTGACTGTCAACGAATGCTGTCCGAACGCAAGGAAATGTGGCGTTATGCAATCAGAGTAAGTGACCATAATGCCAGCTTTATCCATAGATCACTTGTTTATTCAGTTCATTTCGTGCAAAAATACAAGGGCATGCTCTGTGTGGTTGTTATTGACGTGTTCTACCTGCAGTCATTATTGTAATTAATGAAGCCAGAACACACAATGTTTACTCATACTCATCACTGAGGATTGCATGCTCTCCGATGTAAGTTTCCTGCAAGTTTTGCACCTTTTGCTCTTCAGAGTTTGAGGAAGGAAAGTAAGGTGTTAATGCTCTGAACCTAAAACAACGCAACTGCTCATGTAGTTGCATTTTTTAGACATAATCATTTGCTCTGCATTCATTCATGGCAGCATGGAACAGCATGGATCTCATAAGGTAATTTTCAAACTATTCCATATGAAAACAGCCAGTCTTCCTCTCACAGCTTTGACTCATTCTGTCTTTGTCATTTTTTCTCCCTTAGGAGTCCCCACCAAATTCATTCCCAGACCTAGCGGCAGCAATCAATGCACCTAAAGCCCGTGGTCAGTTGCTCACCATCTTGTTCCTCGTAATAGGAGTGCTGGGTTTTGGCGGACTGTACTGTTACAGTAGTCGACAGAAAATTCAGCACTAGAGGAAGACTGAACCATACCAACATCTGATGGGAGTCCTAAATCGGTGGCAGCAGTGGGATCAAACTGTGAAAGTACTGGTGATGAGACTGACACCGCAGCCAAGGGCATAGGATTTAAGCAAGATGCCACAGATGTGATCCAAACCTCAGTCACCTTTTGAGACATCAGGCCTTGAAGTACTCTAGAAGAAGCAGCAGCAGATAGAGATTTAGATGAAGAGAGACTTAGCCACTCCTCATCCATTCTGTCTGTAGTGTCCATTAGCTCTGAGAATACACCTGATGATGTGCCTTTGTTTAAACCCTAACATATTCAAAAGCTATGCAAATGATTAGTATTTTTATAGAAACATTAATTCTGGGAATCTTGCTTCAACGGCTGACCTTTTATAGTCCTTTATAGTCATTATACTCAGTTAGACCACACACAAGCACAAGCCAACATTGTATAGCAAATGTATATGAAAAAGGTGGTTTTGATCCTAACAATTTTGTACATTCAATTTTGTCACTTGTATTTTATAAAGTACACACTTGTGTATACATGTATACAATATACAGTGTGTGATTACTCAGTAAGGAATTGTCTCTGTGTGTTCAGCTACATTAGCACTCAGATTTATCAAAGATCAGTAATAATGATTGTGTAAATGTAGTGTATGTTTAAAGCAAGCATAAATTTAACGTGGCTTTTTTTTAAATGTTAGTATTTGGATCATTAGTTAAATGATTCACCGAAAGTGTAAAGATAGAACAGTTTCTTTGTATAGCCACTGTACATTCCAGAAATGAAAATGATGTATGAAAACAAGACACCTGTCAACGGAGGTACTTGTAGTTACTTTTGTTTTTCCTCTGCAAAATTAACCACTACATGTACTCAACTCCACATATTTGGGACAAAACTACATCTCTACAGGTGGGACACAGTACATTTGCATAACGGAAAATTAACGTGTTGAATTAAAGAGTAAAAACAAAAACGAGGGGTATTTGTGTATGTTTAATCATATGTTCAGTACTCTTGCAGAGAAAATACTGTGCAGTACATGTACGTGTTACTTGTAATTAGAAATATGTGGAACAAATCAAAATAACATTAATTTTTTGTTGAACGATAATTGTTAGCATTTGCAGTGTTTGCTAAAAGCAAAGACATTGGGTTTCATATTTCGGTTCTTTCAGAATTCAGGTATCAAAGAAACAAAATCAAACAGCCATAATTGTTTGGATAATGAATCTTTTGGTGTTCAAAAGATGGCAGTTTTTGGTTTAATTCATCTATGTTCAAGTTACATGAAAATAGTTTTAATGTCTGTTGTTTTTTTCTGTTGTTTGTCTTGCTGGTTTTGCTTAATCACTTGTTGGGGGATTCTACATCGTCCACTGGGTTTGTCAAGTGGATCTTTTTTTCTAAGGGGGGGGGTTTCAACCGCAGTTGTTGGTCTTTCTTTTTATTAGTGTGACGTGACAGAGGGCGCTAGTCACTAGGCACGGTGCAAAGATATAGATGGCGCTCTGCCCAGTAACAGAGGCAGATGTTAGGCGCGCATAGCTGTGTGTTAAGCAAGCGCGGCGCATAGGCTCCGCCTTGTGCGTTGTGCGATAGGGCAGCGGAAGTCACTGCTTAGTCACGTGAGCACGTGCGCGGGCGTGGTCATAGCAGCGCGAAAGCTATAAAAGGCGCGCGTAGCTCTTATCTTAGTGGTCCTGATAAAGGGCTGATCCTGAGGTAAGGATCGAGAATCCTGTGCAAGGGCTAAAGTCACCTAGCCTAGTGTGACTGTGCCTAAGTACAAGTCCGAGTGGTGCGTGTGCTGTTGAGGGGCTCGGTACGTTGAGGGGCTGATTGGTGGTGCGGTATAGTTCTTGATAGGAGCTTGCGGTCGATGCAAGGGTGGATTGCTATCTCGTGACGTGAGTTGCGTGTAGCGCAGCCCTGACAATAAGCCCCGTAGACTTGCTAAAGTCCCTGATTCGGCACTGGATGCCCGCAATTAATTGTGGTGTTCACTGCTCTGGGTGAAGCCCGGTCACGTATAATCGCGCAGTTTCCCCGTCAATAGCGCCCTCTACTGGTGTATTGGTTGAGTGTGTCGATGAATAAACCAGCCGCTTGTGAATTGTTGTATATAAGTCAGGAGTCCAGGCGAAGTTTATTTCAAGTCAGGTCTGTCCGGGTTACGTCATTAAGTTTCGACCAATCAGATTAGCCATCATCTCGACGAAGACCAACTTTCTTGGGGGACGGTATACTTCGGTCCCAACGGACTCGTCCCTAGCCGCTCAGGGACTCTCCGACGTGCCGTCCGACGCACCGCGCCTCGAGGAGGAGGGCGCCCTCGCCTTCGTCGGAGGGGCGCAGCGCCACATTATTGTTTCAACTTTTTATCATTGTGCCATATGTTCAATGAAAATGCCAAAAGGGTGTTTTCAAAGGAAATTTTATATTTTATATATAGATATTATTTTTTTATTTTTTCTTTAATTTTCAAGAGAGACTAGTGAGCATATATTATGCCGTATATAGATGACTGTAACAAGGGCTTGGAATTTGTTGAAAAGAGAAGTGGTTGTCCATACCATCCTTTAGATTAGAATACCAGATTAAATTGTAACATTGCTCAATGGTTAAACCACCTAGGCACGTTAAACACAACTTCTTCAACAACGGCAAACTGAAAATGTTAAAGATCATGTGCGGGCAAGACTGGTTCTATTTGTTAACAGGTCTGCTGCCTGGATTATGCATTGGTGTTTGATTTAATGATAGAGTTGGTGCATATTTAAGGGATATCATATATATCTGTAAATGTGACTGATGTGTAGCAACAGCACTACCATGTGCTGCTACCTGGCATTCTTCTTGTTGCTGTCACCCCTGCTGTTGGCCTGTTTGCTGAGTATATATTCCCCACTGAAATAGAACCCTTGTGTATAAATCCTTAACGCATGTACCTTTTAGTTTTGAAGCAAAATTTTATATTTACTTAATTTTGGTACAGATGGTGTGTAGAATGACAGGTGAAGAGACTGAAATAAATGAGACATAGATCCCCACAAAAGAATTACCATTTCTTTATCACCAAGGTATGTTACAGGATATGTTACCTGGGATCTGGTTTCATTGACCTGAGGCTACAGATAAACTACAATCTTAACCATGTTAACGTGTGATGAGAAAAGGAATTTAGAGCAAAAATATCAGAAGAGAATTGTTATGAGTACTTTGTACTGATATGGATGTCACCTGTTCGGTTTGGAAAACAAACTTCAACACAACAGTGTCGAGTGGTTCGGGGGGGGGATGCACTCCTCGGTGAGGAACTGATGAATCATTGTCAGTGGAAACAATTTTTAGGTTTTTGACCAAGCGAATTGGCGATCTTCATCCCCTTTATTACTAAAAAATCCCATCCCTTTTCCTCCTATTACTTATTCATTTTTCAGAGGGGGAAGAGTTCCCCTGGCAACCCCGGGCCCTGTGACGTCTATGGTCAGGATGGTGGCAATTCGTAGAACTTGATCATCCCGCATTTCTCATGAATTTGACTGTAGAACTAACAAAATACGCCTGAACCATGCGTCCTCTTGTTGAAAAGTGAATGGAAGAAAATGATGTTGGTCAATAGTAATTTCCCACTTTTATGAAAAGCGTCGATTAGCTGCAAAGTCGACCCTTAGCATCTTGCACTTCATGAAGATGAGAAAAATGCCCCTCCCCGTCTTCCCATCCTAGCAATCCACGCCGTCAATCAAATCAAGCTGGCGGCAGTGAGGGCGACATTCCGCAGAGCCGTGCTTGTGATATTATTATCTAATCAAAGGACTTGAACAAGTTTAGGTGTACATGGAAAACGTCATCACTTCCACGCCATCATCTTCACCGTACCGTACCGTGCTGTACCGTGCATGCAGTGTGCGTGTAAGGTTTTGACCAGAGAGTTTTGACCTCCTGAATTCGTAACGTAAGAGATCCGCTGCGCAAGATGGCGTCTGGTCTACGTGTCTTCTTGGTAACGTGTGTTACTTTGTGCATTTTCCCCGCAATTCATGGGGAGTTTAATCCACAAGATGGCACGAACATTAGACAGAATAATGATCCCGCAAATGTTGGAGGGGACAGGTATCCAGTGAAGCGTGACGTTGGCGCTGGCGGCGGGCAGCGGCCACTGGGAGGTGCCGCAGCAATGCCTGCCCAGAGGGGATTCGGACCACAGCAACCTCAACAACAGTTCCAGCCAAATCCAAAGCTGGCTATCGCCCCAAATCCCAACAACCCTGGTGGGCAGGGCTTGGGAATGCTGAAGCAGCCAGGCATGCCAGGTGATGATATAGCCCGTGGAAATTTTGGACAAGGGGCTAGGTTTGACCAAGGCCAAAGACAACCAGGACAGCCAGGTCAACTGCCTGGGCAACAACGCGCGTGGGTTGGACGTGGAGATGTTGCTCCAAAACCCTATCCGGCACCAGGACAAGGAAGACCTGACACTGGAAGACCTTCAAATCGACCAATGAGAATTAACGACAGTCCACAATGCCGAGAAGATGTTGCACATTTCTGTGGTAAAAATGCACGAGGCAACAACTTTTCAGTGCTTGATTGCCTGCAGAATGCCGGAGAGGTGGGTGTCCTTTGTTTTCCTTCCTAGGCCTATTAACTTTCATAACTTTGCTGTTGTCTCGTTGATGGTTTGCCAGTGGCTAGCCCCATTAATTTGGTCTACAGTACGCTGCACTCCCCTAGGGGAGCGTACCGTAGGCTTGCCCCACTAATACGACATGGACTCTCACTCCTCATCCATCCTTAGCCACACTTCCATATAAGCAATTTCGTGTCAGCGTACTGAACATTTTCGGCGCACCCACTTATCATCGTGGGCGTAATTTCTTTTGCATACGGACTAGATCCTTGACCTTTCCACTTTCTAAAAACCATTTATTGAATGATTTCACTCACGTTATTCAGGTATTTTCCAGTCTTTTTGCCTTTATCCATTCAATTTAACAGGCTCACTCTCTCAGTCGCCATCTTTAACCCTAACAGTACCTGGCATTGTTTGGCTTGGAGTACTCAGTACTACAAAATACTACGTAACACTCTGAGCCTGAAGGACCTCGACCTAGTGCTACAAATTACTATTTTGGCCAAGTTTATTCCATTGTTACTCGTACAGAGAACAATGAAACCATGCATTCATAGTGCCACAGCACTGTATGGTACATGGTCTTCTCTATTGTATTTTATGGCTTCAGAGAATAATAATGTCTTCTCCTCTTACAAGCGACAGGGCTGGATACTACATTTTACTACTAAGTAGTACTTTGTAGCATTCGGGACTGTTAGTGTTAAAATAAGGTCGTTGAACATTACATCACTTGACCCCTTATCGTCTGGACGGCTGTTCCATGTCAAGACATATGTAATACGCGGACTGAGCGATAAGATACTATGTGTACCAATGGGCTCATCCAAAACTTTGGCAGCAGTTTAGATGTCTCGACATGAAACAGCCGCCGAGACGATGAGGGGTCAAGTGATGTAATAAATGGTATTTAGAAAGCGGAAAGGTCAAGGATCATGTCTGTGTGCAAAAGAAATTGCGCCCACGATGATATGTAGGTGCGCCGAAAATGTTCAGTACGCCGATACGAAACTGCGCATACTGATGTTTGGCTAAAGATGGGTCGGGAGTGAGACACGAGTGGGGCTAACCGTAGGCCACATTAATGGGGCTAGCCAGTGGCTAGCCCCACAAAAAATAGGGCTGTAGTGGCTCTCTTTTACAATCTGTCTCTTATCTGTCGCCACCACACCCCTACTTCAAGGCATGTCCGAAATGCCTGAAACCCTAACTGCAGGATTGTCACAAACTTTGAATCGTAATATCTTCCGAAATGAGAATGACTCTGTAAACATAACACACACCTCCGTAATCAGCCTTGCATGATGTATAACAATGTCAATTTGGAATCCACATGCAGGGAAATAACTGTTCATTTTTACGGAACCCATGTAACAATTGACACCGTCACAAATTGTGTTCCAACATCCTGGAATGACCCATTTACAATGGATTCACATTACAGCATTCTAAGAGTGATCAAACTTATTGCAGTGCAGTATGTGGTTTTATGTACATGTACTATGTATGTGTGTTGAGTGCCCAACCAAGTTTCATGTAACGGTGCATATGCGTATTTTACATACATGTATGTAACGTGTCCACCACCCACCTGTAACATGCAATACAATTTGAGCACTCAAGGCTATACATCAATCTCTCTACAGGATTATATACAAATCATCCAACATTTTAGTGTATGTGTAAATATTTGTGTGCAGGTATACGTGTACTGGTAAGTGTATGGAGCTAAAAAAGTCCAAAATGCTAGTGTCAATTGGTGAAATCGGCAAATTAATCAGACATACATGCACACTTAGTCCATACATGTATGTACCGGTATGTATGGTTTGTACATGTACAGTACAACAGCATCCAGGTAAGTCTTGAAGATGGTTTGTCTTGTGGAGTTGATATGATACTGTCACTAAGGTACATGTATCTGTACGACTTCCCAAATCCTTCATTGTATAGAAAATGTGAGGTGTACATGTACATAGATTCTTTGCACTTCAATTTGAAGAGCTAGCAAGCCACTTGTTACCAACAGGTTATAATGACTGAGCTCTTCTACAGTTATTGAGATTCCTCCTGCTAGATCTTGAATTATGTAGGTTTGTTAAGGTCAACAGAGCTGCCGGCTTCTCTGGTTGTTCATTCTATCATGTCTATTGTTTTCCTCCCGGTTATGTGTACAGCCTCTTGTACATTAGTTACATGTACTTGTGCCATCTGACGGCAATAAGGCATGGGACATATGAAATACAAAACAATCACTCTGCGTAATGAAGCTTGCTTATTTTGGCTACCACTTTGAATTCTCTTTGATGACTTTTGCTTTGCAAATTCTGTCACACCCAAATAATGCAACATCATGGTTGCTTGGCAACAGGTGCAATAGACATACACTGCAGTGTTACTTGGTATTGAATAGTGAGGGGGTGTGCTGGTGGCTGGAAGGTGATGACACAGTAAACCTTCCTTGTGATTTACATTGTCTGACTTGGAAATGGAATGAGTTTTTATGAACCCAAACTCATTACACATTCTCTGCAGCAGCAGTGCTGAGTCTTAAATCCTCCATTGTGCAGGAAACCAATGCCACATTGTTTGTACACCTCTCTAGTGGTATTAGTGAAGATTGAAGATCGTCAAATAAAAGTGGCTAGGCTGTGCATGTACATGTTCATGTATACATGTAGGTTGTGTCCTGGGGAAAATCCTCCAGAAAGTAACCAGTGGAATTTGAAAGGTCCATGATGAAGATTAGGATTAATGTAGCTAAATAATGGTAGAACATATATATTCACGTGTGATTATTGAAGACATGCCACATTGCACATATGTATTGCATACATGTACTGTAAACTGCATTACACCTGCATACTGTACATGTAGTTTACTATTCTTTCCGATATATTTACTATAGTTGGTTGCACTTGAAACTATTGAAAATAGTTAAGCTTAGCTGTAACACGTATTTGTGATTTTGGAATTCACACCCAAAGATACATGCCGGTATGTACACGTATTGTTGAATGTACAGAAGCGTGAAGATTGGCCATGTGTACGACAACAAAGTCTCCAAATGTGTTGTGTTGCCTTCCTGTGGATGCTCATAAAATGTATTAATTATGCAATAGAAGTATGATTTCATTTACTGTTCATCAAGTTTTGGCCTGAGACAGGTGGTAGTTTATTGACCACACCCAGCACTAAGAGTAAAGGGTTTTGGCAGGCAAAGTACTGTACATGAGCACAAAGTAAGGTGTTTCTTTGTGTACTGCTGTTGTATATGTGTACATGTAAATAGACAAATGGTAACTGTGGCCAGAATAAGGAGATAACAACCAAAGTATTATTGAAATTTGAAGGGTCAAAGAATGAGAGGTTAAGTTTTTAGAAGTGTGAGACAAGTGTTACAATACCATACTTGTACTGTACGTGTAGCACTAGCAGTCATGGCTAAATGTTAGGACAATATTCCATTTGCTGTGTTTCAATCAAGTTTAGTGCCTGTTGAATTTACTATAATTTATCTGCATGTGTATTGTTTTCTTTTTCCCACAGAAAAGCACACAGGCTGGCGGCAAGGTTAGAAAAGCGGTGATATGTATAAGTTTGATTTCTCATACATGTAGCTACGGGTGGTTAACTCTTGAAGCCTTGTTTATGCTTATTGAAATAGGTGGTTTGGGCACTAAGATATTTTCCATGCTACATGTAGCTTTGACCTGTCTTGATAGTCTGCTGCACTCTTTTTTGTTCCCACTCTGTACCTCTGATAAGTGTCTAGGATTAGTCAAGTCTACTTTTAAAATCACATAATGAACACATGTCTTCAAAGCCTGAATGAATTCTGAAGTGATAAAATGAGAGAGAGTACTCTAGACCTAAATAAATGCAGAGCAGCTGTTAGTGTTGTTGAAGTGTGTAATCATATCCCTTCCCTTCCTCCTCGCTCCTCCCTCCTTGTTGTTTCTAACAGTATCCAACAGCTGTGATCTTCAAGGGTAATTAACCCCTTACTGAAACTACAGAACATTTGATAACTGTCATTGAATGATACTTGAATGTTATATCTGTCTGGTCCATATGTGTACAGTGTATGCTAAGACACATCTTTGTTTTACGATGATTGCCTGAGTTTATGTATTATTTAAAAAAATTGGTAAAACCTTTGTGCCATAATAAAAAGTAACTTAACAACTACCTGGATGGTGTACAGTGATTCATACAGTAAAATCTCGATAACTCAAAGTCGGTTAACTTGAAACTCCACTTAACTCAAGAATAATTGATTCCCGCCGAAAGAATAGGCTTTTATGTACAAAAACATGTCCTTAACTCGAACTGCTCACGTCGCTCAAGTTTTTGTGTAGCAGATCCAAAAGAAACCGCCGCCAAAATACTTCCAGAAAGTGTAAACAGAATGCGGGTCTGGTTAGGAATCATTTCTGACATGCACACTTCATCTTTTCACACTGGAACACTCGCAAGCGCAGTACAATGATGATCGATCTAGACACCTAAACCACACCGTGACCGCAAAATCCCACTTGCAGGAATTACCGTGGACCCATTGTAGCCAGTGCATCGGCAGGCCAACTGATGGCTCTTTGTGGTGGCTGCGGCAATGCATTGGAGATCCTTGCATATGCTGTACGCGCCACATATATGGAAGTTAAGTCTGGCTTAATGCTCTGGCCCAACTGCTTGCGTTTGCCTGTGGGATGGCTGCCCAATTAGAGCCACAAACCACAGCATGCCCACGCGCAGTGGACCTACCGGTACTACATGACTGCAAAGCAAAGCTTTTGCGTAGCAAAATCTCACTCCCCAAAAAATATACAAAAGCTTGAAAATAAAGACCAAAGAACAAAAAATAAAAACAGACACCAATAGCGTTTTTGTTTTTACAAAATTTTACTGAAGCGCAAAAAAGGTGCACCCTCATGTGATGAAAAAAGTCGTCTGACTCATCGGGAAACTCCGCCCGAGTACGCATTTGCAAGGTGCTGCGTTGCGGTGCGGTATCAGAAATGGGACCACCACATTGCGTCACACGTGCACAATGCAAAAGAAAGATTTGCCACACAAAGGTACACAGTTTAAATGATTTATAGTACATGTAATGTGTTATTTATCAGCCGATTAACAACAAAAATCCTCCGCAAAAATGACTTTCTATGAACAAGAACTTGTGGCACCAAAGTATAAAATAACCACAATTTCATTTTAAAGTCATCGTTGAGAGATTTACGGTAACTGTGCGTCAGCGTATAGGTACATGTTATGATACACATCGTGATAATGACTTAACTTCAAAAGAAATCGGGACCTTCTTTTGATTCGAATTTTGGATAACTCGAATTTTTTGTCCATTCCCCAGAGATTCGAGGTATCGAGATTTTACTGTACGTATAAAACTGTGCAGAGTAAGTTGATATGTCCAACTTGAAAATCCCAAGCTCTTTTGTGCCCAGTGCATGTACATACATGTTGTGGAAAGTGACGGATTTAGAAGGCTACTGTAGCACCTGTTGGAGACTGTTTGAAGCACCTGAGGGTGTCGGAGAGCCCAGGAAATTAATCTGACACTAAGACTTTTTGTTAGTAAATCCATTCTATTGAACTGTACATGTATGAAAGCAATGACGCCCCCTTTTGGTTTGATCTTTGGTCATTCTTTTTTTACTTTGTTTGCACAATTTCCTACCAATTGAGCCTCAATTTGAGGTTATTGTTGCGATGATGTCTCTTAAGAGAGTGTTTATACCAGTGTTAATGAACATAAAGATAGCTCACCAAAACATTTTTTTCACTGAATCACTATCCTGTGCAAGTTCATGGATAAAAAATTGTGATTCAGAATTTTCCATCATCATACATTCATGTGAGATATAATACTGTTGGTTTTGCCAACATCTTGTGGAAGAGAAATGGGGCATGAAAGACTGAAAATAGAGGTTAATTGGGCACAAGAATTCATTTCAGTGATCCCTTAAAACATTCTTTTCTGTGGGCCCTATCCTGATGGTCTCTGTCCTTGTTATTTAGGTCATTATTGTCAAAGCCATTTCACCACCACCAGTGACACTCTCATGACAAAAACACTGACACCAATCTTTTCATTTCCTATGTCATCACAAAGCTCACTGTCACTGTAGATAAGACTTACCACAACTTACAAGTAATTCTGGTCAGTGGGACTACAGCATCGTCAACTCACCATTATTCATGAACACCCTTTAATTCCTTATTCTAATCCTGCACTTTCCCTGTAATTGGGTTGAATAATTCCATGGAGTTGGGAAAATGACAGAAACCATTCGATCCAGCTTACACTATACTTTAATCTATATAAAGATAAAATTTTTCATCATTTTATGTTTTAAGATAGCTTTGAATTATTAGAACTGAAACTTGGCCTTAAGAGTTAACCTCCCCTGATGTGATTTACACTGCACAAATCACTTTAGTTTTTGCCATTAAAAGTCAAGAAACTGACCATTTTTTCATCTGGATGTGAAAACTCTCTAGTTCATCTCAGACCAAAAAGCAAAGATGGGCACAGTTTTTACAAAAGTCACATGTAAATTGGCATTCTGTTAGGCAACCAATGACTGTGTTTTTAAAATTTTACGGAAATAGAAGTATCAGAGACAGAAAAATCATTTGAGTTTCAGCAGACTTGAATTCAAATCTTACAATCTCAAGTTGTACGGTACTCTGAAGCTAAATGAAAAGATACAGACTCAATTTTAGTATGCCTTTGACAAAGCTTCAGGCCCTGTAGCTTTTTGGATTTATACGTACCGGTAATTAAATTACACCTGTCATTTCTGTCTCATCAATCAAGTCAAAAACCCAGTCGTGATTTTCTCATTTCAATTGTTGGGAAATAAATCCCAAGTATTATTTAAGTGGAAACTGTTGACAGTGTGTTAACTATGTCAGACACACACCTTTCTTATGGAGCGCCTTGCAAGATATAAAACGAGTGAGCAAAATGATGCTAAAGAGTTTTCTTTGAGAGAAGAAAAAATGGAAAGTACGTGTGGTTGCATTGTGTACCAAAAGTTCCATGTTTTGTCTGCACGTTCCTTGGTTATGTGACAAAACTTTTTCTACAACTAATCAAGAAAAACACCAAAAATAAAGAACAGTTTTCACATATTTTATTTATCTGAAGATAACTTGTATGTACCATATCACAGGCTGAAGATACTGACCTTGCTAAAAGCCTACATGCCATTTGCATTGAATTAAAATTGAATCAAAGTTTGCCCCTTTTGCTTTCAATAATTTTTTTTTTATGTTTTGAGGCAAAGTTTTCAGAAAACCATTTATTTCAGAAGCTATGTTTTTAATTTTGACCACGCCAAAGTTTCCTTCAGGGTACGATGTTAAAGTGACTCTGAGTATTGATACATAGGATGAATGATAGAAGTATAGATTAAGTGTCCAGTCTAATGAAAAGTTGCAAGGGTGAACAAAAGGCTTTAGTCTTAAAGACTCTTTATTGTGGACCTTCAAATGCAAAATATTGAGAAGATAATGAAAACTTGCCAGTGAGCCACTGCCATGGAACTACTGTGTACTTAATTCTGGCACTAAGCAAAAACAGCTGTAAACTACTGACATAGCTGTGAACCAGTGACACACTTACATGTACTGTATGAACCAGTGACATAACTGTGAAGGTTGGGCCTTTGGCAACAAGTGACATAGTCGTTAACCAGTGACACAGTCATGCACCAGTGACGTAGCTATGAATCAGTGATGGGCAGTAAACCTTTCATGGGTTTTGTAGCCGGTACCCTATGTTCTTTTCAGGAAGAGTTTAGTGCTGCTCTTTGAAATAAGCCCTACATGTACATGTAACTTTGAATGCAGAGCTTGCACCGTTGGTTTCAAATGCATTATATCTTTTTATAAGTGATAAAAATGGAAGCTGTTGCCTTTCTGCACAATTTGAAAGTCCATGGATGGGTAGGGAATGACAAACCCTTCACCTTCCGTAATCAGCCATTTTTTTAGACAACTTTTTTGGCATACATGTTCATGTGTTGGCTTTATATGTCCTAATTATGATAAAGTACCGTACGTGTATATAAACAGGGATGCAACTTTTGATAGATTCAATTCAGGAAAGGCTAATTCAATTTATGTTGCGCATCACATATTGTGATGTTAGGAGTACTTATATGTATTTATAGGCAAGTCTCAATGTTAAGATGACAAAATTGTATTTGAGCTTTGGCATGATGAAGGTCACAGTTTCCTACCAAGCTTGCTGATTTGTGTATATTGATCTACCAATACTGTCTTTCCTTTGCTTGTTTAGTGAGTGTTTATTGGCATGGTTGCTTCTTTACATTTTGATTGCATTCTTGCTTGTTCATTTGCTAGTTGACATATTTCCCTGCATGGCTTTGTGTGCTTCTTTGCTTGCTTGCTTGCTTATTTGCTTGCTTGCTTGCTTGCTTGCTTGCTTGCTTGCTTGCTTGCTTGCTTGCTTGCTTGCTTGCTTGCTTGTTTGCTTGCTTGCTTGCTTGCTTGCTTGCTTGCTCGCTTGCTTGCTTGCTTGC